CAAGACTCAGAAAAGAAACGCTAGCCGATAGCAAGAATTCGTTTACTGACTCAGCCGAATACAACTCATACCTTTTACACCTTCGTATTTGTAGCTCCATAGTATAGCAGAGTAATGCGAAAAATGTAGTGGTAGGTGGATGTTGGCAAGGCATCTGAGTTACCGCGTAGTGGCAGTGTCCTGAGGAACACTCAGTGGAAATCACTGTGACTTGGGACGCTAAGTACAGCAGTGTCCTGAAGTTGGTCCATTGCGACTTTAGTGGAGAGGGCTTAGTTGAGTTCCATGCGGGTTGCGTGGATGCACAACAGCGCTGTGTTTGAGGAGGGCTCATATGTTACCTGCGCAGTTTGAGCGGCCGCGGGAGGATAGAGGTGACCTCAGGCCAACTCTGTGCACGTTTCGCACAGTTTTGCGAGCTCCCCAACACTCATCTATAGATGGCGCACCTCGGCACAAGCTCTGGGTATTTGCCCGACTCTGACTGTTCCCTCGTATGTGCCTGGACAACGCTCAGTTTTCCGGTTTTTATGAATGGCTTCGTTTTGGACTCAATTTTTATCCCTCGTTGTTTGGGTGTCTAACGCATGGCTTAGCACACCCCGTACGCATTCATCAGTTTACCCCAGTCCAAGAGGGCGGCGCATGAGTAAGCGTTGGTCGTTTCACTTGTTCTTAAGATATGCCTTACCCATATTACTTCCCATATTACTCTACCGTAACAATTCAGTACACATTCTACAACGTTTCTATAAGGGGCACTTGAATTCACTAGACGCTTAAATTGACGATTTACACTTATGTTTACTTTTACTTCAACCATCCTACGGGACTTGTAAAGCAATCGCTTTTTTACCCGTACTATAGCATTGTTCATTGTACGCACCTTACAGGAACAGACTGCCACATCAATGTTTCTCCTTATTACCGAACAACGAATCGAAGTGATCGGTAGATTCACTTGTCTAGGTACTTGTGTCACCGCTTATTGCTCATACCAGCAACAAGATTACTACACGTATCGCTAATGCTTAGGTGGTTTTCTAAAACCACAGTTGTTTATGGAGACGACGCAACATACGCTTTGGGGTCAACAAGAAGAACTACAATGCTACGATGTTACTGTATGTAGGAAGGGCGTGGTCACTGTGCACCAAGCGGAGAAGGAAATTGATTATGTTTAATCACAAATGCTTGCAAATTATTGCTAGCGGCCGGTTGATGCACTGAATCACTAATGCCGATGTTTGTCATTCGGTTTCGGAGGGGGGGTCTGTTTCCCCCTCCGTGCCACAATGGACTTTCGGCTGAGCACAAAACGCATCTTGTGGCTCAGTCATATGCTCCCTATGCCTGTAAGCCAACTGCATCGGCTTGTCTTGCCTCTCGATCCCACGCTTACTGGGCGACTAATCAGTGATGTGGAAAGAGGACATAAAATAACTCACCGGAAAGATAAGTAGAGTTGACCCTTTTCAGCTAACTGGATGGACGCCTCGGCGTCAGTCACATCAGGGGGCAATTATTCTATCGGATGTTGCGCGTCCACAAGTCCATATTTCCGATTGGACTATGTCCTTGAAACACTGAGTCCCCTTCAACCACTTCATTAACGCAGTAAGAAGACATAGATTGCGATATGTTAACATTTCGATTGCTCTCGTCAGTCGCTACGCAATACAGGCAGAGAAACACGCAATATATAGGGTTCACACTTAGTAACGTAGATAAGCAGATAAAATTGATGGGAATGAGGTAATCAGGTCCAAGGCAACCTAATTGATTGCCTCCGTTGTTTCTGGGCACAGAGCACGGGACACTTCAACCTTATCAGTAGCGCCTCGCCAATTGCCAACAACGTCGGGTTCCTGTTGCGCAATATCACCTTGAATGGATCGATTGGATTCACGTAGTGACGAGTCAGAATGAGGTGTTTGGTGATAGACAAGGCAGGGTTCCGGTTCATTCTTTGGTTCGCTCCGCCTTGGACTATTTTCATCTAATGATTTTACCTCTTGCCCATTTGTGTGTGTTATTGCTATCATTATTATTGGTTGGTGACTCCACTGCGTGTCAATCATTTCGGGTTATGTTTTGCACCTTCGAAATGCTAAGTCATCCAAGATGAGCAAGGACCCATTCCTGTTGTGACCCATATTGGTGATCAGCTAGAAGTCGTCCAGCAATTTCAGTATCCAGAGAGCTATAGTAGCTCCGGTAGAATAGAACATGGGATCACAAAACGTATAACAAAAATCTCGGGACAATTTTATTACTCTTCGCCACATTTGGCACCGGCGCAACATCACTCTTGCCCCGAACTGCAGCGTTTACAACGCAGCAGTTCCTTCAACCCTGCTTTACTGTCGTGAAACCTGACCAATCAGATTGACAGGTATAAAGACCATCGCTGCCTTCGCAGCTTTGCTCATATCTGATGGGAGCACTGCATGAGCAATGAGCGTGTTCGGCGTCGCGTATTTGATGCAGGAAGAGCGAGTGAACCCCTCACTACCTTCGTATCCCGCACCATACTCTGATGGCTGGGCCACGTTTTGCATATGCCAGCGCACCGGCTCCCGTGATGTGCGTGGTTTACGCACCCGGGGTCTGGATAGAAGAGGAAAGGGGGGAGGCCAAGCGATGACTTGATCGAGAGGAATGAAAACCTCCACTACGAACTTGGCTTCGGTTGGTACCTTCCAACCGCCAAGCCGAGGTCCCAAAGACCATAAAGGGGTTTGGCTACACTTGCCGGTATGGCGAACATCTAACGTGTAATAATAGTGATGATGATGGTTGGTGACGTGAATTAATGAAACCGGATTCACTTCACCACATCTAGGAGATCGTAGTTGATCGCCTGGTGACTTTGTTGAATCACCTATTGTTTTACTTTCTGTATCCGGCTTGTCTCGTTATGTGTTTACCCTCCACTGCTACAAGAGTTATACTAACCGACTCCTTCATACCCAGCCAGTCTGCCTATAGTTGGTTATCAGAACGAAACATAATGAGGTCACTTATGTTACTTCCTTTCTTGTTGACGTTAGATTGCCTGGCACCCACCCACCGAACAAACAACTGCCTCTGGACTCCGTTGGATCGCTTGTCGCAAGTTGCGGTCGGCACGCTTCGATCCAGGATTGTCAGCCGATGTGAATGGCTTGCCTTGATTCAAATCACACCTTACTGTAACCACGATACACTGCGGCTATCTTCCGCGGCAAATTATCTGACTTCACTCGTCATTCATTCATTATACACGTTAGCTGCAGGTGGAGAACACCTCAGCTATTGTGCCGCAATACAAAAGAGAAGAAAATATGCAACAGAGGCACACGCCGGCTGATTCACCAGTAATGAATAGACATCTTTCCAGAAGGCTATTGTGCTGCAAAAATGGAGTTATATTATGCCTAATAAATACGATCGTGGTTGGAGAGGAGGGGGATAAAGAGAAACTCAAGACACAAACTTTATTGAGGTCGGCTCCTAGCTATGTCAACAAGTGTATCCAGCCAAACGTGTTCATCGTCCTTCGATCCCCAAACAGGGAGCCGAGAGATTGCAACCAAGGCCAACTTCGAACTTAGGGCCTTCATTCCTCTTCGCCAAATCATCGCTTGGCCACCCCTCCTTCCATCCGCACCGCTTGGCACGCACACACACCCGTCGCGGGAGTCGGTGAGCTAGCATGCGCACTCGTCCGAGTCGTTGATTAATTTATGTGACATCCATTGTATTATTTGTAACATGGGTGATCGTGCCACTTAGAAATCAACTCTCAAAGCACGCTAGGGCGGTGTCTCACCAGGCATACCGGATTTGGGGATGATGGCAGACAGCCTATGCATCAAGAAAAACGCTGTAAAGCCGTTTCATCCTATTGGGACTCGTCAGTAGTACACATCCCCCGGACCAACCAGGGACCGAACCCCATGATCGCAATTTAAGCGGCTTATACTACTAGGTTGACAGATAAACCAACTGCCATACAATGCGGCTTATCCTCCACCGCCAATCACGTTCCGAACTTTACAGAAGGTAGGGTTGGCCCCTAATTGCAGGGCTTCCGTGCAACGATATCTATCGCCTGTCCGTATACATGCGATACTGTCTGGCTACGACAGTTCATTTCGAACTTAGTGTACGGCGACGTTTAGCGATGCGAAAATATCCAATGTCATTCGGAGCAACCGAGTATTGCTCGAACTATCACCAATCAGAAATTCCACAAATACTTACTGATTAAATCAGTTACCTTGCTCTGTGCACAGTTGACATATTCGCCGGCCATCTAACTCAACATTGCAGCAACTATTGTGAGTTTTATTTTGTCTCTCCCTTTATGTCATTCTCGTTTGTTATCAGACCTAAATTCACTTGGGTTATTGGGGCGCAAATAGCCCCAAACCATATGCGCTGCTAAGTGCAATCGGAGACCACAGCCTAAGAACGCTACACGGTTTCGAGACGTTTATCATCAGGACACACGTTGCTACCCGACCGGCGTTAGCAGGACTGAGTCACGCGGGAAGCTGATGAAATCAGACCGTCAGCATGAAACAGGTTGCTACATGACAGGTCCGCACGCTAGCAGATATGATATCTATCCAGACAAGTGGCTTGAGTCAGCTCAGGAACTTACAATAGGAGATGATAGATTGTGACCTATAAAATGAACCGTGTTCTATGCCTAATACACTTCAGTCTACCAGGCTCAATGTTCTGTTCTCGTTCCCGGCTGGGCAGAGCCGTTAATCAGAGAGCAGAGGCGAGGGCAGCGTTACTACAAACTGGTCCGGTTACCGAGCCACAAGATGCCTGAGTCTTACGAGAGCTTCGTGTTCTTTCCAACCTACTGTTGGAACTCGCCTGTGGTTAGTCAAGCCACTCTTTTTAATCCATATTTCCGATGGGACTCAGTGGGGAAGCGGTTCCGCACCGTTATTGCGGAATAATATTGTGTTCGAATTGTCCCCTTGGTTATTCTACTTTATTTTGCGACCTTTTTTCTATTGAACCATTTGCACCTGTTTCGCTTATACCGCTCGTCATTATTCGCAACATCAGTGTTGGTATGTGTGACCACATCGCTCTAGGATTCCCAGTTCGTGTTCGGCAAATTGTGTTGAGCGAGATTGGTCTAATTTACTGATTGGCAAAGTTCCCCATGGCTTTGACTAGAGATTTGAAGTGCTTACATGCCTAAATGCCAGACGGTAGTGTAAATCTAGCTGATGTGATTGCCCCTCCTTCGGAGAGCCACATGACTGTCTTTCTGAATGAACAACCACATCTCACCACTGTCCGCTCCCTCGCTTAACGTGACTGAGTCATGGAACCTCGGCCCTTTACTCACTTTCCTATATGTTTAGCACCCTCGCTTCCGTTACTTAACTTATGACAGTCACACACAATCTTTTAACCCTTGTTCCTGTAGACAACTTCGTGCACATCTACATTCATCGGCTCGACCAAGTGCTGCGCTTTAGGTCACTGCACTCTCGAGGCATCTATTTCTGGGGCATCGAAGAATCGATACGGTGCCTCACGAAAAAGCGAAATACACAGAGTAGGAAAAAATCTAATAACCATAAGATTCATTGTCAGTACAAGCTAATCACAATTGGGAGGCAACAAAACACACGTATGCGGGGAACCAAAAAAGGGCTGGATGAGTAAGGATGCGTGGGGCAAACTCACAGAGCAACGGGGAGTTGTGGAGTTTTCTTACCCGCGCTATAACACCGATGTTGAGTCTTCGGTCGAGAGAAACGATGCTGGCAGTCTGCAGGCAGTCGCTAATAATCAATAAAGAAACCGGTTCCAACGTGCATCTCAGGTGTTTCTTTCTCTCGCGATCTTTGGTACTTCGGGGATGGTTACGAATTTTCGAGTTACAAATCCCTGTTTTGTGGGTTCCGATAGCCTATCATCAATTTTCTAAACGCTATATTTGTCGACTACAAGTGTTCCTTTCTTACGTGGACGCAGTTTTTAACCCTATGCAATTTGCCACGATCCTTGAAGCCTGATGACCCTGTGATGCTATTTGTATGTGAACACAGTGGATAGGTATCCAACTCTTGGTTCGGAATCCTTTTTTATCACCAAACATGTTTACGTCATCTTTCCCGATTCTGTTTCCTCATCCCCCCTCCTACAGCGTCTGCTAGCCTAACTTGGATCGCTGCTGTTGTGCTCGGAGTTTTGCTTCTCATCGTTGTGGTCGCTTTGACGATTTGGCTTTTCACCAGGGATCGGGGTGAAACTTATAAATTATACGAGAAGGAACGTGCTCACGGAAATGACCCGATCCAAGAAATTAAGGAAACTGAAGGATTCAAAACATATCAGAGACAGTAAGTCCCTGTGAACGCATACAACGCAAATCCTGTCAAAACATCTCAACAATTCAAAATGACTTGATGCACTGGTAGCTCGGGTCGATCCTTCCTGAGTTCACTTGTTCGCCACACAATTCAGCGGATTAGATTGGACCCAGCAGCGCACTGTCGAAGTCACCTCGCTTGGTGATGAAACGTTTGCATCCCAACTCCGAAGCTCGACGAACAAGTGAACTCAGGAATCCCAACAATTATCATAAATGCCTGAAATTTTTATTTGTGTCCTCAGGGTTGATACAGTCAATTGCTAAATGCTAATTCCTCTTCAGGCTCGCACTAAATATATATATATATAGTTCAAAACAGGCGAGCTAGCCATACGAGCACATGGTCTGCGGTCAACGTTGGTCGAACCCCCATAATTGTCTAATCAATTATGTGGTTCAATTCGTTGCTGTTCCACGATCTATGTGCTCAACGGACACGTATCGAGCGTCCATTTTGTGTGTTCTGAGCAATCCCCAAGCCAAGTCCCATTGATTTTCTCTATCTAAGCTCTTCAGGGTTACAGTGCTACTGTTATCTGTACCAGCCTCCTTATTTGTGACATTGACCTTAGTGACTCCCCAGACCCTCCATATGTGTTGAATGTTGGGGTTCTGAGGCCCCCATGTCTGTTTACGCTCATTATGTTTCACCCAGAATGCTGTCATCGTTGCAACATACCAAGGACTCAAACTGATTTCTCTTCTCTGCAGTCCGACATGAACTTTGTACTGTGTAACCAGATGGCTCTCTACATCCCACTATATCGTCCCCCATTGTAGCGGAATCATTCTACAACTACAGTAATACCAGGTACCTAGTAGCCCTCTGAGAATCAGGAAGTAACTTTGGCAGTGCAGAACAGTTGAGATGTTGATTCGCTCACTGAGCTCAACGATTTGGTTGCGGACATTTCCTTTTCTGGGATTAACTGAAGCTCTGTTTTCACTAACAGACTTATTGCTTCTGCTTACGGAAGACTCCACTTGCTCTAGTGTTGTAACGATCGCATACTGACTGTAACCGAATTCCTCAGTTCGGCGAAGAAATCAGTACTTGTACTGTACGTTAATGGCAATCGCAATTCCATCACCGCGGCTGCTCGGTGTTTAGTTCTCGTCGTTCGTCCTATGCCGTGTGCTTAAGTTCATACACCCGAACTCCCCGTTTGCTCACATCGTTTGCCACATCGCGTCTGGTACATCCTAGATCAATAATCAATCTTCCTTTGCTCCTCTGGATCGTGTGATTGTGGTCAGCTCGCGTGGGCGGCGCCTCATTAGCTTCCTGTTCGCTGGTCCCGTATCACTTCCGTCCACTCGCCTATTAATGCTGCTCGCTTGCTCTATCATTCCGTCAATTCCCTGGGCTCTTCTTCCGTCATCTTATTCACAAAAGGATTTGGTGTGTAGGGAACACCGCGTGACGCTGGCGTGCCACTCTGTTTGGCATCATCGTGGCGAAAAGGGGCATTGCGGCTCCACCACGTTATCATCTCACTGTGAGCGCAGAGTGTATAGTCTACCAACTAGTAGTGGTAGGTAGTTCCTTCCAATAAGAAAATTCTAGCAACCATCCGATTACCAAGCCTAACAAGCAAGGTATAGTTCCAGTAACTGATTAGATTACTTGCATAGGTTTCGTTCATTCCAGTCTCTACAGCTATGGGCTCAATTTCGGTACGAATTTTATTTTCTGCATCTTAAAAACCTGGCACGTAAGCCTCGCTGATCGACGTGTTGTCACCAGTGGATGAAAAGGATTCGCTTTGGTTCAAGTACATTCATTAAGTTGAGATGAAGGTTCGAATATACACGACGATAAGAGCACGTTTTGTGTGTATGAGCGACCGTTATTTTTCTGCACACGCCTATTGCTCTGTTTTCATTTACTTCATATCGCTGGAGACGGATGGCAGTCTCCTCCTCTACAAGTGTATGCAGTATCGATTCGTTTTCAAAACCTGAGTTTACGCATTCTCAATCGGTTCCAAGTTTATTTCGAGTTGGATTTACGACTATCTGCCCAAGTTTCTCACTCTTTGAACTCTCTCTTTGGCCGAGGTGCTGGCGGCCGGGCATGCTAAACCTCACCGCAAACCACGTTCTTCGTCCCGCGTTTATTCAGCCCTCTTGTTCTTGGCAACCCCCCTCCAATTTCGAGTCTCCCAAAGTGCATTACATATAAAAACCGTACCTTTGGCCTCATCAATGAATCGCACAAAACCGATCGCACACATTCCAATACCAACAACAAGGCTTTTATTGCACCCCGCTCGCTCTTCAAACTAGCTACTTTCAATGTTCGAACGCTCATGCAAATTGGTTCACAAGCTGCTCTTGCGCGCACCTTGGAAACCCTCATCATCAGCATTCTCCGTGCCATCTGCCATCAAACTTCGGACCGCGCGCGAGCATACGGACACATTTCGCCCGCTTTCAGTATCACTGGCAGTGTTAGACAGGATTGCGCAGTCTCTCCATACTTGTTCAACTTCGCCATGAATGAGATCCTGGGCACTGCCGTGCTGTGTTGAACTGCTCCCTGCTGACCGCCTTCGGGACTTAGAGTACGCCGATGAGATCGCTGTGATTTGTGAGTCCTCCCAAGTCGCCCAGCATGTGCTTCTCAAACTGGAGATGTCTGCCTCCCAATTTGGGTCGACCGATAGATAGCATCATTTCAGTGCGGAGGCTTCGCTGGCTTGGGCATGTGTTCCGCATGCCTACCCAGCGGCTACCACGACGAGCCCTATTGGCGAACACAGGCGTAGCTTGGAAGCGACGAAAAGGAGGGCAATGTAAAACGGATCCAATGCGTTAAGGCACAAACATTGAAGATGGCTGTTGTCGGGCGTTTCCGGCTCCCGGGTTGGAACTAAAGGACTCCGAGTACATCTGGTTACGAACGCTGGAGGATATGGCCAAGGACCGTACCCTAACAGTTGTTTTCCCTTTCACACTACTTTTTCCTCTTATGTGTTATGGCACAGCCAATTATATTGTGATTGGTATAGTGCCGAATATATATATATATATATATATATATATAAACTCGGTAGCACTAGGACCAATATTATGTGCGCGCAACTTGTGTCCTCCGGCAATGGCGACAGATTCACGTTCCCTTCTTGAAAGCTTGAACCAAGAATATGTGCTCGGTTACCAGTTTGGTCTACAGACGTACAGTTGCGAATTCTTGCTTTCAAGATGAATTCCCGCTTATCATCTAAAAGGATTAACAGGTTCATCACACTGACTCACTTTGGATATAAGGTTATGTATCCTGTCGGCCTCTCGCTGCAATCGACAGAACCTGCTGGACTTGTTTGACTAGTTTCTGTGTGCACCGATGAGCCATGTCTGCTTACCTGAAGATCGAACGCTGTGTAATGAGTGGGAGCCGAATGGTAAGGAACAAGTGATTTGTAAATTCCTAAGGGAGCGTGCCTTGTACTCATGGCCGAAGTTGAATGTGTTGCGAAATCGCAGTTCACTCAGAGACAGACGGACTCCAGATGAGGGCAACACTGTATGACCTTGTCCTTGCCTCGATGCAGTTTCCGAGATAGATATATTCCCTTATACTAGGTGGACACATCTCCAACCTCCTGAGCTTATACAATACAGTAATCCACTTCACTTGGCCAGGTGTATGAACGATTCTTCCCAACGCAATGTTGTTCGCCTACCAATGTGTTCCCGTTCGCAGGCTCTCGGCTGCCTCTTGCTTAACACGCTTCTTGAAACTAGTTGAAGTGCTAGTAGTTTGCTATCCTAGCATTGTTCTCATTAGCACACTTTACGCGAAACGGTCTACAAGTTGTATCATCTCTTTTTGTGCCTGAACGTTTATGTAGACGCTTCTCTGGAGTAATTGCGGAACTTGTTAACAGACACGATGTAACAAGTCATCCATATGTATACCTCTCCATTGTATTCAAGGTCACGTCTGCAAACTAATCATTCAGCTCGGAGAATAATGCACACTTCACATCCACACCCCGAGTCACCAAATATTCTTAACTATTTCAAATCATTTTATGTAACAACAGCCTGGATGCTCGTAATTATAGTGGATCAATCGTAACTTTCTGCACGCAAGGCGGTGGCTGGGCCGTAGCCCACCTCATACTGGATGCACGGAACCACTGAGCCTAGTACGGTCATGAAAACCGTTCCCGATTTGCTTGTCGTTGCGGCCTTCAGCTGGACAGCCACAGGATGCTTGCGCCTACAGAGAGACTACGGGTGGCTTGCACTGCAACACCCACGGGTCTCATATCCAGTGTAAATTCCAAGAATAAGACCAGGAAGCATGTGGATGGGAGCCACCTTCCGTTGGCGGAGCCGGCACACACCCCTTCTGCATCCACATCCGCTGCATTCCCGTCCATCTAACCTAGAAATCATGTGCACCAGACGTACACAAGGTAGTGGCTGGGCCGTAGCCAGTTGCAAATTCAATCGGACCACGCTTTCGATGACTAGTCGTAAATGTACCTGGGACTGTGTTAGCTCATGCGTTTGCGACCAGATAACCTACAAACTACCTTTCTCCTTTGCCAAACTGGATTCCGCTAATCCTGCTGCACAGCAATAACGCAAATTGATTTGTCACCTATTCGCGTATGCCATAGCCTGGTCAATACACACTCCGGCTGAGCTGTGTGTGGTAGTGGGACTCATCGACCAGCGTGTTTGATTAGGGCATATCGACCGTACTGACAGGTCAGCTGACTTTTCGACTAGGCCACGTGCCACATCGAAGCACGGCGAGATTAATCATGCACACCGGAACGGGTCTTAGTCGTTTCAACCACTGAAGCATGCTCCTCTATCGACATGGTATAGTGCAAAACATTTGACAACTGACCTAACTGATCGAGTCGACATGGCTTGAAGCAAGCCGCTGAAGCCTGAACTACTTTTGGACTCTGTTGAGGTGTATACGCAGCTTGCGTCACGATG